TATCTTACTGGAAAAGGAATGATTCTTGAAAGATAGGTTCTATGGGTCTCTCTCACACTTGTATTATCACCAATCCGATGCAGGATCATCACAAACTCAGCTCTCAGTTAATATGCGATGAAATTTTGTCTGTTATTAGTGATAACTCATCATTGAAGGTGAGTACAATAATATCACATATCGCTACACCATACAATTATACTCCCTCGTACATGAAGGCATGTATGGCTACGACTAAGGCAGTTGAAATAATGTTTGAAAATTGGGAGGAGTCGTACAAAGAACTTCTAAAATACCTGGTGGCACTTAAGCATTGTGCTTCAGGGATTGTTGTCATTTTGGAGACATTGTCAACCTATACCCTAGCTGGGACTTGTGTTAGTGGAAATGACATATTCCATCGACTCTTCTGGGCATATGAACCATGCATCAAAGATTTTGCTTTTTGTAAACTTATTATACAAATTGATGAAACATGGTTATATAGGAAATATAAAGGAACACTACTCATGAAAGTGGCACAAGATGACAACAACAACATTTTTCCAATCACCTTCGCTCTAACTGAAGGGGAGACTGTTGGTGGATGAAGTTTTTTCCTAAAATTTTTTTGATTACACGTTGCTCCTCAACCTAACTTATGTTTGATTTCAAATAGACATGCATCAATTGAAAGTCCATATAAGAACCTTGATAACGGCTGACAGGATCCTCCTTCAACGTATGTCTATTGCATTAGACACCTCGCTCAAAATTTTATACGGGAGATCAAAGACAAGACGTTGCGGAAGAAGGTTGTGAACACAGGGTATGCATTAACAGAACCTTCCTTTAAACATTATCGCGAATACATCATATTAACAAATGCAGATACAATAAGGTGGATCGACAATATTCCATTGGAAAAATGGACCAGGGCATACGACAATGGACAACGATGGGGCCATATGGTGATAAATATCGTGGAATCAATAAACTATGTCTTCAAAGGCATTTGAAACCTACCGATAACCACTTTGGTGAGAGAAACCAATTTTAAGCTCGAGTCACTTTTTGAGAACAAACGTTCAAAATGGATTTCTGTGTTACCATATGGGCAACTGTTCAGTGATAGTTCAGTGAAGTTCATTAAGGAGGAAACTTCCAAAGCTAACACACATGTGGTCACAGTGTTTGATCGTAATAAATGTTAGTTTAGTGTTGCTGAGTCAATAAATCACAATGAAGGGAGGCCGAGGGGATACTATCGAGTGGAACTAGATAAAAGTTGGTGCGACTGTGGAAAGTTTTAAGCCTTTTGTATGCCTTGCTTGTAACACCCCCTTCTATACCCCCAAAATAACGCAAATAAACACTTATTCACATATATAAAAATTCATCAGAGTATATTTATGACATGGTATAAAAGAGGCGCATCACATTATCCACGAAATGAAAACATAAACAACACTTACTCATAGAGATATGTAACAAAAGGGGTAAATCTCAACTAAAAACCAAGCATAGCTCTTAAAACCCACACATCAATGTTTTAATTAAAGCGGAAGACTAGAACATTGAATTACTTAAGACATGATATCATAGAAATACACATCATCAAGTTTGGTTCACAATATCGTTCATGTTTTACAAAACATCATCAGCTGATACATATACAGTGTATCACAAAAAAATACTCTACAAGCCTAGCTACCCGATGTTACATTATCAGAGCAACCGACTCAAAAGAATGAAACTATACTTCGCCAAAAGAAACCTCCAGCAACCTAATCTGCAATGCCTCATAGAGCATTATAAAATAGCAGAAGAGTGAGAAATATTATCATAATAATCAATGCATATAATTATATACACATACACAATACGTAATGTACATACTCCATATTTTCTCACCACAATTCATTGTAGTTCGTTATACAATCACAACATGCTCACACGCAATTATACATAGTCCACGATTTCCATACACAAGCATATTTCATACAACAATGACATTTATGCGATGTGACTCAATACAACTCAATGCAAACTCATGCCATGTGGTACCAACACTTGTTATCTTTTTTCGGTTTACATTAAACCGGGTCCACTCTTCTAGACCGATAACCACCAAAAGCCCGTCCTCTAAGCTTTCAAACCCACTCTTATAGGCTTGGGACAAGTCACTAGTCTCCACGAAACTAGCAAGCATTGCCTCTTGACTAAATGATGCATATGCAATCAACAATCAAATGCACTTAAGACCGGCATCTTAATCTCATGCATTCAAATAATTCATCTCTTCAAGAATTATAACAACGATTACACACACAACATATTCACATATATCATCAATATATTTTCAAGCAATGCACAAATATACACAATATGTTCTCATGCATTCTCAATACATTTTTAACCACATTAAACAATGTATAACATTTGTCAAAAGACCATAATTCAGTTAATTCTACAATCTAGGATTCACGCCATAAGGCTACCCACATTATAATACATCTCGGCATAATCGATGCCTCAAGCAAAGGACAATAATCATAATTGAGTCGGAAATCCGACCTCGGATGGAAACATTAAAGAAAACACAATCTGTTACGTTCCCTACCCTGCTCGCTTAGCGAGCTCCTAGCGAGTATTCGCTACTTGTTCGCCCAACGAACAAGCTCGCGAAGGCAAACAGAAGCTACTGACTTTGATCGCTACCTCGCTCACTCAGCGAAGGCCTAGCGAACCTTCGCTACCAGCGAACACCACAAAATGCATTATGTCCAAGTCTGGGACCGTTCGCTACTGGCTCGCTACTAGCTCGCTTAGCGAACGTTCGCTACCAGCTCGCTCAGCGAACACACTAGCGAATGTCTGCGAACTCAGAATTTCTCACTGTCCAACTCCCACCAAACTCTCCAAACCAACCGATTCTCACCGAACAAGTTCCGTAACCTTAGTCTAACATCCCCCGACTAAATACTACCACTTATTCTCATTTTCCACCGTGAAAACTCAGATCCTACCGATTAATCCATTTATGCCCTAAAATGGAAGTTGTAGAAAAACATCCAATACTCTAACCCAAGCATACATATTCATATACATTGTTAAGATAATGATATTTCCCACCCTTACCTTGATTAATCCAAAGCTTGAGAGTTGCTCTTGATGATTTCAAGTTCTTCCCTCTTCTTCTTCTCTTTTCTCGTCTTTCTCCTTTTTTCTCTATTCTTTCCTTTATGTTTCTATCTTTTCTTTTTCTTTCCACTCTCCTTTTTAATATGTCTTTCTCTTCTAATTCTATCCAACATCTATTAATTCATTTAATTAATTACCCATCAATTAAATAATTCTCATTAACCCATTAATTAATGCAAATAATTAATTAATAAAAAATCGGGCTGTTACATTGCTCCCATGTCATAACAGCATGTTCAAAGACTCGGCAAGACCCTTCCAACTTACTATTTACCGTTTACCATGTCATAAACCTATGCAATATCTACAATATTAGCTTTCAGGTGGTAGCTAAAGAGGACTATTGACCTGCATATCAAGGGGAGATAGTCTGACACAATGAAATAATGTGAAGAAAGAAAAAAGGCTGCCCTAACAACACGCATATTCGAATCGAAATGGATACAACGAACAAAATAGTGAGATTATGTAGCTTATGTCGTCAGCCCGGACGCAGTCGTACAAATTGTCCAAATGTTGGACCAAACACAACAACATAATTTTAAATGTAATCGTTTTGCTTTATATGAAAAACAACTTTTATTTCATAAATATCATAACATTTGGTTACAATAATTTAAAAACAACAACTAAACAATAATTTAAACAATTAAACATCAAAACAAACAAATACAACGACTAAACAACATAACTATGTGATTACAACCGTCATGACAATTTCCTGAGAACTATACATCATCATGTGAACATCTCTGTCAGTTTTAGCATTCTTCCAGAAACGAATTTCTCCATTTTGGTTGAACATGGTAACAAGTCTTTGAATTCATCTGATCTTTTCACTCGCTCCAATGTCTCTATCTAACCAACGAATTAAGCTCCTGTTAAGATGTTCGAACGTCTCTGTATTCCAGAGTCGGATCTTCATCAGAGACATTACTGCAAAATAAATTAAATTAACATTTCTCTTTTGGATATAAGGACACATATATGAACACATTTTGATGAAAAATGAAAGGAGATTGAAGAAAAATGGAAGGAGATAGTAAGAAGATGGACACAAAATGAAGGGGAGAGGATGTTATATTTATAGAAGATGCAAATAAAGGAATAGCCACATGAAATAACGCATGCTCTTAGAAAATAAATGCATGCGCCAGATGCATTGGCGCCATCTATATGCATGAGCCATGGTGAATCACGCCTCTTTATATACATCATTTTAAATTACACATTCTCTCATTGTTGAGACAAAACATAATTAATTAGATAATTTATTTTCGTATAGAATTTGAAAAAAATGATTATTTAAAAAAAAAACTACAACAATATATAACTACACATTCCAATAATGAAGAATTAACAATGAAATCATTTTTATTTATCTAAACTATATTAAACTCTTTCTTTTTGAAATAAGAATTTTAAACTCTTGATATAATGATAATCACGTGGAAACTGGAATAAAGAAAAGATGATACTACTATTATATCACCCCCTTGAAATGATGACCGAAAGAGAAAATTAAAAAATTAGAAAATGTTATCAAACCGATATATGAAATACAAATAATATTAGTGGGTCCTTTTCATTTTTAAAAACCCAACAAAGGCGGAGAAAAAAAAAAAAAAAACCTTACAAACCCCTCCTCCATCTATATCACCACAATTGTATGCACAATTACTTCGCCTCCATTTCCGTACCTTCTTTCTTCCACTACTCTTTGCACTCCGCTTTCAGTTACAACTTACAACGCTCGTATCGAAGAACCGGTCGGTGATAGGTTTTTTTTTATCGAACCGGTTCGTTCAAAGCCAGAAATGGCGGCTCTGTTACCTTGCACGCCGACTATACTCTCTTCTCCGTTTCCGAACCGGAGGAGGAGCCATCTTCCACTTCGACCTCACTCCCACGCCTTCCCGGGTTCCACCAAACGGTTTCTTCGCGGTTCTCTTTCCGTTGCCCGGTTCGGTCTACAGCCCGGTTTTTTACCTGAACCGGAGGACGCGGAATTCGTTATCAAAGAATTGTTTAACCGAGCGGAGGGTTTTCTTTACACAATTGCCGATGCTGCTGTTTCGTCTTCCGATACGGTGGTTACTACCACCGCCGTTAAACAGAGTAACGATTGGCTTTCTGGAATTACCAACTATATGGAGACGATTCTCAAGGTATAGGTTTCTCAAACTTCGATTCGACTTGATTTTTTGTCTCTATTAGTTGCAAAATCAAAACCGCTATTTGAATTTAAATTGTCAAAATACTCGATCAACCTAGTTCAATGAATAGAAGGACATTTTGTGTTTGGAGAGGATGGAATTAGAGTTGTGAAGTTTTAACCTAGTTGCAATTTGGGAAAGCATCCTAGCATCCTAGTTTAAACCACGTGTTTCTTGTAGTTCTCTTTTTGAAGTTATTATAAGCTAAGTAGCACTAACACCTCTGAAAAAAGCGTGTCCGCGTCGGTATCGGACACCTTCGACACTTGAGATTAGGTTTAATTTATTCATTTTTTCAAATAATTATGTGTCAGTGTTGGAGTCTTTTTTGGAGTGGCCGTGTTTCATAGATTATAAGTTGTGAAATTGTGAGTTGTGATTTGTTTGTGTGTTAATTACATAGCTACAGTTGGTTGCTGGTTTTATTTTGTCAAGTAATTGCAAGGGAAAGTTGTGAAATTGTGAGTTGTGATTTATTTGTGTTAATTACATGGCTACAGTTGGTTGCTGGTTTTATTTTGTTAAGTAATTGTAAGGGAAGTATTTTACTCTTTTCAGGTACTCAATGATGGGCTTTCTACTTTGCATGTGCCATACGCATATGGTTTTGCAATTATAATGCTCACCGTTCTTGTAAAAGCGGCCACATTTCCTTTGTCAAGAAAGCAGGTTTGTTGTTTTTGGAGCGTGCTTCACTTATTTTGAAAAGCTGAAAATGATCCATATAAGTCGTGTTCTTTGGATACTACTAAATTTATGGATGTGAAATGACTGTCATTTGCCTTTGACATTTAAGAGACCATTTTCGTCATGTTGTTTTCAACGTAATTTAGTTGGATAAGTTTTTGTCTGACTATTCTCAGGTAGAATCTGCCATGGCTATGCGATCTCTGCAACCTCAAGTAAAGGCTATCCAGAAACAGTACGCCGGGGATCAGGTATTTTATTGGCCTTCTATAAGTGTTACTTTTTTTTTTTTTATAATAAAACATATTTTGTAAATACAATTGGGTATTCTTTTTGAGATATTTTGCATGGCTATACAACCAAGCAATTTTTATTTTGATATGCTGTGACAGGTAATTGAATGAGCTCTACTATATTGTTTGATGAAATTATGATGCCAGTGCTCCTGTTAGTGTTTGGATTTGGAATGCTTAGAAATGGGATATGGTTTGATTTGTTAATCAAATTGTGTTTATATTGATTTGATTTTGAAAATCTCATTGATTTTTTATGTCACAGATCTTATTGAATTTGTTAATATGCGTGGGACTTGATTTAGTTTAAATATTTAGACTGACCATTTACACTTATAGAATAGCCTTTTCAATAAAAAAACCAATTCCATGTTTAATGAGTTCTAAACATAAGATTTGATTGTAAACATAAAATTCGATTTCTAAATCAAATGAAGACCATTTTTTATTCTTGAGGATTCCAAACATGATGTTAGCAATTGACTCTGCATTCTCTGACCAATGATACATTTCTCTTTCAATTAACAAGATTTCTATATTGTTTTCTTGCAGGAGAGAATTCAACTTGAAACTGCTCGGTTATATAAATTAGCCAACATTAATCCTCTAGCAGGTATCTGTGACATAATTGGGTTGTAGTTATATCACAAGTCTGGTTGTTTTCCGAGTTATTTCCACATTTTTGCTTGTACTTTTTCGTACGTTTTACATGGAACTATAAGCATTGTTATATCATAGATATGCAAGCGGTTATTATGGCTTAGGTAGGTAGATGGAGGCAGCAATCAATCTACTCCAGTATTAAGCATTGATCTTACTTTTTTAAATTGTACTTGGTAATTCTTTTATTCATCAGTCTTCATTTTTCCCCAGGATGCCTGCCTGTTCTCTTAACAACACCAGTGTGGATCGGGCTATATCGAGCCTTTTCTAATGTGGCAGATGAGGTATGTTGCTTTTACATTTGTTAGTTTACTATACTGTTTTTTAGGCATGCACATCTTTCTATCTTCCATAGCTAATGGTATGTTTTTGTCTAACAATATACAAAGGGACTCCTTAATGAAGGTTTCTTTTGGATACCTTCTCTTTCTGGTCCTACTACAATTGCAGCACGGCAAAATGGAAGTGGTATCTCTTGGCTTTTTCCTTTTGTGGTAAGTATCTCACCTAGCAAATAAAATTACACGTGTTAGACTATTAAATTTGCATTCTGACCAGGTCATTTACTCATACTGAAATCGTATGAAACAGAATTGTGAACTCTATTAATTTGTTTCATTAATAAGAGGCATATATATTTATTTTATTTTATATTTTCTAATTCTTAGTTGCATGTTTGCCGGGAATGAGTTGTTTAATTTTGATGTTTTTGCCTTTTTTAATGAACATTGGATTTGTTCATAGATTGGTATGAAGTTGTGGAGTTCCTTTTAGGAGTGTTAGCAAAGAGGGAAATTTTTTAATGTGGAGTTTGCATTTGATTGAGGCAAATGCAACAGTGTTTATAGAGTCCTCTTGTAGTTAAGTTTCTTGATTGGGACCATAATAGTCATTTTAAGTCCTCTGGTTTTCTGTTTCTAGCATTCTTTTTAAGGTTTACCAAGTTGGAATTTGATATTAAAAGGAACTATAAAGCTCTTTTCTTCAAATTTTCCCGTGAAATGTGAATTTAAATATTTGCCCGTGAAATGTTTTAACTGAAATGTGGCATGTATGTTAAAAAACTATAAGCTGGGACCTGCTATTTGTATTGGTCTGCTAGTGTGGACTAGAGCTACAAAATGGGAAAAAGTAGGATAAGTGTGTTATGTAAAAGGCATGTGTGACCAACCAATGATTCCAAGAGCATATATATAAACCGTACTAACTAGGACACACCTTCTCACAATAATGACCTGGTGAATGTTAAATTGTTTCACTATTTCTCAAGTGGGACATATCTTCTTGATTCTGATTTAATAGATCTGTTCAGAATTAACTAGTTTTGATAGAAGGATTCCTTTGATTTATTTAATTAAACTCTGGTATTTGTCCTTCCGACAGAGATTTAGTTACAAAGGGATATATGAATACAATAATAAAATAGAGAGAGAGGGAGGAAGGGAGGGAGATGGTAACTGCCTGTAGTAACTGCCTAGGAGATAGAGAATCTAGTCTCCCCCAACCAACCAAGGCATAAAAACTGAGCCCCTTTTTTTCTTCCCTATTTTATAATTACAAAAATTTAACAATTGCTGTCTGTTGCCCACTGAAGTTCGATGGCTTCCTCCTTGAATAAGTCCTCACAATTGGATGCCCGTTACTTCATGATTCATCTTCACTGGTCTAAATTATTGTGAAAAGTTTTCATATTCTCTCATTTTTTATTCACACTGTTGGTAATTTCTGGCAGATTCTAGGTGGATTTAAATTTGAGGTTTGTTTAACACTTTTTGCTTAAATTTTTACATTTCAGGATGGCCACCCTCCCCTTGGATGGCCAGATACACTGGCTTACCTTGTCTTGCCTGTTCTGCTGGTTGTCTCTCAATACATTTCTATTCAAATAATTCAGTCATCACAGGTAATTGGTGTTTCATGTACAATCAAAAATTGAATACTTCTCAACTCCAAACTAATGTTGTCCATGAACTTGTGGGCTCAATAAATAAAAACAATGGATTTATTGTTGATATAATCTAGTTTTTAGGCCATGTTTGAATTCAACATTAACAATTACAAGGTTTCCTCCTAACAAGGAGTTTCCATTTTCAACAAACACTGATAACTGCCTATACTGCAGACACCCTATTAGTACCATACCATAACTAACTACCCACACATAAAAACATAACTGACTCAATCATAAATCATGACTTCCTATCTGAACCTTGTTGACCGTAAACAAATGTTGTTTTGTTGTACTGCACTTAAGAGCTATAGCTATGGTTAGTTATAGCTTTAAGTAGAGTGCTTTTCAAGCTTGTTAATTAATGTAGTATGTTGGTATGATTTTTGATTGTTGTCCTTTTTGTATAGCCAGGCAGTCTCTAACTGGGTTATCTTTTATCTAATATGTCATGACAGTCATGGGAACTCCCACTCATTCTTCTAAGGATTGAAGAAAACTATTTTTGTTTTTGGTGTCTGCACATTAAAGTGCAAATTTGTATTTACATTTGTTTGCGAAATACTCATAATTTTCCATGCCAATTTTCAGGCTACTGACCCCAACGCGAAGAGTTCTCAAATCTTAAACAAGTTACTTCCATTAGTGATTGGTTATTTTTCTCTTTCAGTGCCTTCTGGTCTTAGCCTTTACTGGTAAGCGTAAGTAAAACCTTCCAATGGTCTTGTATGTTTAACCATGTTATCTATATTTACATATTATACTAATAAGTTGTGCAGGTTCACAAATAATATATTAAGCACTTTACAGCAAATATGGCTTCTAAAGTTAGGAGGTGCAAAAAATCCTTTGATACAAGTTCTAGATGATAATCTGAAAAATGACCTAATACAGACTCAGAAGCCAGTATCTAAACTAAATTCCACAAAAGTTGAAGAAACTAGAAAAGTTGAAAAGTTGACATCAGAGGGACCACAACCTGGTGACAGGTTAGTAATTATAATTGTAGGTAGCAACACTTATTTTATAATGCTAATCATTTATTTTAACCTGTTGTAATTGTGTTCCTCTTTTGGTTGCAGATTTAAGCAATTAATGGAACAAGAGGCAAGGAAGAAACAAAAGAGAGAAGAAGAAAGAAGGAAGGCTGAAGAAGCAGCAGCTAAAGCTAATCATGAGCAAACAATTCAAGGGGAAAATCAAGCTGTAAACGGCTTAGTTGAAAATTCCCAATCAGTGGCTGCTGATACTGATCCATCTATAACTGGAGTAGTAAATGGTAATCCATTAAGTAAGGACTTGGAGGGAAATCAGAATTCTACCTCTACATCTGATACTGAAAATGGCGAAGGTTCTGCACATTTCAATGCAGTGAACGAGAAAAATCTAGAAAAGGTATTACTGCATATATAAATATAGGAAATGTTTTCAAATATTTTGGTTAAGGATAAAATGCTTCATTCATGTGTGCTAGAAAAAGGTTTTTTATTTCTATTGCCCAACATGTAAGAATGGTGTGTGAAGTGGGAACTCTATCGTTCTTGTTATCATGCAAGAATAACTTTTGTAGCAACATCTCCTATGATGTCAGTGTTTACCTTGTAATTTCACTTACTTATACGAGCTTTTATAAAATGCTGTTTTATGTTTCAAATGCTTCAGGTTTCTGATAACTTATAGTTAAATTTCGCGGTATTTGAAATTATCGTGCGCGATATTATACTGCTAGCTGAGTTGATAAAAAGGGTGGTAACAATTTTACAGGAACCGAGAGAAGTACTAACAACCATAGCTACTACAAACAAGCTACCTCAAGAAGACCCAGATCGTGTGGCAAAGGATTGATCGATTACAAGAGTTAGAAATTCAGCCGCTGTAAGATTAATCGGCCCAGTTGGCACCCATAGGCTATGTTAAAGCTTATAAATGCGACCTTCCATGCAGTTTGAGGTCTCTGGTTAAAATGTTCTTTGCCATAGAAATGATGCAATGAACAAGATTTGAGGTTTCTACAACTGCCAGAGGGGGAGGGCGTGAGTTTGTTTTAGATTTTAGAGGGCTGATATGCAGCTTCGTAGTTTGAGTTTGTAATATATATTTTTTTAATCATTTTCTCACTAATTAATAAATAAGTGCAATACCCTTCATAGTAGTTTGCTTGTTGTCTTGGATGCTATTTTTGTTTCTCCTCGTACGATAGATAAATACACTCTGGCAAGTTATAAGTTGTCACTGGATTGTCTCATGATATTTGGTGCTCACTTGCATCAACTACGAGGGATTAAATTTTTTGGATAAGACGCAAGTTTGTCTAAACTCTAATGTTTGACGTGAATCTCAAGTTACCATCACTATCGCTTTTACATGCATTTTTAATTTTTAACAAAATTGTTGGAACTGGATGTGAAGTTCCTTGTGACTGGAATACTATAATGCTTATGAAAATAACTTACTATAAGAACTAACCTTTGGGAACTAGAGTCTAGTTTCTCTCTTGACCAAAGAACTAACCTCTTAACGCACTTTTTATGTTTTTTAACTACCATGCAAAAATACATAAATGTCTCTAGATTTTGGAGATGTATTTTTGAATGTATTAATTTTGATTGGACGTTAAAATATTCTAGAGATACATCTTCATAACAATTTAAAACACATACTATATATCACATTCAGAAATTATTATACAAGTGTATTGCATCGGATATACATCTCCTAACGTATTAAAACATAACTCTTTATATGTCATATAAATAAAAGACCAATAAATATTAAAAAATTTGAGAACAATGATAAAGTAGCATGATGTCAAAATAAAATACAATTCATAGTACAATTATATACTAATGCACTACTGTGTATGTCTGACTACATTTCCGTTGTCTTCTTTACTTCCTCGGCCATCAATCCCCCCGTCTTCCGGCGTTGTCTTCGATACATAAATGCCCCTTATGCCTTCGTCATGATGACATCTAGGACCTGCCTCACGTTAGTCCATCAGAGAAGATACATGTGTTAATGCCTGCCTGCGCAATATCCACTATACAATGACATCTAGGTAAGACATCTTCAACATGAACTAACTATGCATGCTCCTCCTGTAGTGTCTCCTGATGAGTCGGCCTCGGCGGATCTTCTGGAGCAGCACACAACATGTACGAATGTGACACCCTAAAGAACCATATGATATATCCATCGACGTAGCTCTAGTCGCTCACAGCTATGGTACTCCGTGCATCCTCCGGTACCAGATGACTCTCATAATCATCAAACATGTCATCTATTTGTCTACGTGTCAAAGCAGGAGGAGTAGAGACAACAGGGTGTTTGGGAATGGTCTAAGTGTAGCCGAACTGCCGCATGACGCGCTCAGGAAAATAAGGAATAACGAGATGTGATCCACAAGCCAACCATCAAGAATATAACACTATCTCGTCAAATGGTTGCGTCTCACGGTGATTGGCATAACTGTTGAAGTGCATGTCCTCGACAACTAAACTGTCAATATACACCCTGAAAGGCTCAATCGTCTGGTTCCCTCTGAGCGAGGAAAAACAGTAGCATGAGCCATATCCTTAGAGAAAGTCGGTACACTCGCCCAACTGTAGATGCACGGGAAGTGCTGGAGGATTCAAGGCTGAAATGAAAATTTTGGAACACCCGAATTATCAGTGATGTATTTGTAAAGATGAAATGAAAATGATAAGGAAACATTAAAAAACCAATAATTATTATCGTCAGTAGTGTGATCTTACAAGTGACCTGCTTGGTCTTCCACATACAACTCTCTCTCAACTTCGAGTAAAAGTATACCAAACAAGCGCCCCCTAGTTGCACTCGTGGATCCGATCGAAATCCTTAAAATACTGTAGGTGGACGATGCCTGTATAAGTGACACTCTTGTTCACAAAAAAATGCAGTGCCAACCAAATATAGCAGGTATGCTCTCATAACATGCGATCTATAGAGTGCCACTTGCTCATCATCCTCTGTAGCTTGCCGCTCTTTAAGGATCTCAGTCGTATATATCCTTTTCAAGTATTAAAATATAACATGAGCACCCCTAGTTCTATCTAACTCCTCATTCGCCTCCGCTGGGTCAACCCCCATATAATCTACCATTATCAGGAGTGCCTCGTCTTTGGTAATCCTCCCATGATCTAAAAGTCTCCCCCTAATCAGAAGATGTAGCAAACACGAGATATCTGTTAGAACAAGATTTGTTCATGACATATATTCCTTGGGTTTTGATGATAACAAAACATTTGAAGAAAAATGGTTTTATTTGATGTGTGTTTCTTGCATGCCGGTTCTAATACTTGTAAATATTTAGATACAAAATCTATTATACAAAGACACACTTGAGAGAAGCTGAATTGCTAGCTTCTAGTGGTGCAAAATATGAAGAACACTTGCTAAGTAATACCTGACGTAGACTCTAAAGTTGAAGGCCTCATCATCAGAAGAAGCAACATAATTGTCTCTACACTTGGTAAATGTATATTGGCTTCTAGTATCGTTCATAATTGGTGATAAAGCTGAAGCTGTCCATACTGCATAAAGCAAGCTGCATTGTCAAATCAGTTTGTCAGTTGAAGTCTGAGTTCACAAGGCTTAAAAAAGGTTGACATGCTTTACGAATATCTACTCTCAACAGCTCTATAGTACATGATATCCTTGAAGACTCAATGGTTAAACATGTTACCCAATGGACCAAGAACTTTTGTTGTATCTATCTTCAACGGCTCCTATAGTATGGAGTAAAGCAAAGACACTGATCAACTTATCTCATCCAACAACTAGTTTGCTGCAACTGCTATATAAGTGGCTGAAGGTTCAAATTGAATCTTTAACAAGGATTAACCAAAAGAAGCAGTAACAAGATCAACAATTATCAACTCTATTATATATGTAGAATTTTTGTTGTGGATTGTAATTGTAAAAACCTTAAGCTTTATTACACATTGAATATATTAGAAATCTTAAGAGCTTTAGGTCTTTGTTATGGTGATTTCTTGTACCTCTGATGTTAGTATCAAATACACCTTATTCTCTATTCTACTGAACTTGTTTAGCAGTTTAGATTTGTCTCTCGCTAAGTTACTTGAGCCATGTAAGTCTCTTGCTATGTGCTTGAGCAATGAAAGTCTTAATCAAGTAGATTGATTGAGCATAAGTCTTGTATTATTGGGATAGAAGCAAGGAATTTTCACACCAAGATGCTTGATCCATGTAATTCTCATGCTATGCGCTTGAGCAATGAAAGTCTTAATCAAGTGGATTAATTTAGCAGAAGTCTTGTTTCAAGGGACACAACCAGGGAAGTCTTGGGCCAATGTGGCTTGAACAGGTTGGTTGGGTTCATGAACTTTGGAGCAGTAAGTCTTGAACCTGAGGGGTTCAAGCAGGGAGGCTCATTTCGTGGGACTTAGAGCAGAAGTCTTGAGTATGTAGAACTTGAGTAGGAAGTCTTGGATCTAGGGTCTGAGCAGTGTAAAAGACTTATGCAAAATGCATAAGCGATTATAATCATGATTTTGTTGTAGTGAAAATCTCTTGTGAAGTAAGGGAACTAGACTACTCTCGGTTGAAGAGGAACCAATATAAATCTTTGTGTCTTATGTTATTATTTATTTTCTTATGTTAACCTTCGCTGCTAAGTATAATCAGAATTTGAACACCAGTTCAGATTCTAAACTTTGATCAAACGTAGAATTAAGAAAACGAAAAACACAATTCAACCCTCCCTTCTTGTGTGCTTTTCTCAACTTCAATTGGTATCAAAGCATGGTCTATGCTTAACACTTAACAGTGGTACAAATAATGATCCAATAAGAGAATAATTCCTGTTAAAGACTTTCCTTCAAGAAGGAATCAAATGCCACATGAAAAATATCATACTAATTTTCCTACCTTATTCAAAGGGCGATTCCACTAAATTTAAATGATCGAAAAGCAAAATATATTTTTAACTCATTGGTTTTGATAAAGGGTTTTGTTGAAGGTCAATAGAATATCCTTGAGAAAGGTATTGCTATAGAAGTTGATGGTATAAAGATGATCAATGTTTGAAAATCTCTATCACCAGCTCAGAAGAAGCTTATTGAATATATTCAAAGGTAGTTGCATTCTGGTAGGTGCTCTATTTCACTTCTGAGTATGTCAACATCATTGATATGTGTGATGCTCAGAAAATCATTGAACCCTTGTGCTCATATTTGTGGGAATTAGTTTTGAATCTTGTCCAATTACACTTCATCTAATCTCTCAAAGCAAATTCTGAGAAGATTTTTCTGGACTCAAACCTGAGGTCACAATTATTCAAGAAGTAATACAACTTGAATTTACTGTGCTCTGTTGGTTTCCCGTACAATCTTCAAAGAAAAGAAATGAAATTAGATTTTAAAAAGCTATCTATCAAATTATATTTTATAAAGTATGTTGAAGGATACTTCTTATGGAATGTCTGTTGATGAGGAATTAACCTTCCTTATCAAAACACTTCTTTAACTAGATGAATGAAATGTTACACCTGATGATAGAAGAGTAACTTCAAAAGCTTCTGAAATATTAATATTTCAATTGATTTCCCAAATCTGAAAGAAAGGAGAAACACTACCAAAACCTAGTATCAGAGGGTTTCACTGCATATTCATTTAAAGCTGACATTAGTGCAGGATTCAGATGAAATAGTAATATGGCTCTGCCAATCATTACTACTCCAAAAGAAGCATCTGAGTCCTGAAATAAACATTAAGTATTGAAGAGAAAGGTATTATGTCAAATCTATCTGCTTCAATATTTGATAATAAGGAGTTTGTTCTTTAAGGTGATATCTTAAGAGA